AAAATTGAGTTTACCAATACAAAGTGCGCACTGTTAAAAATGGTTAAATAACAACTTATTTAATTGTTATTTTACTATATTCAACCAAAGCAGTAAAATGGCCATAAAAAAGATGATATTCAAACACTTAAGTGTAAGAAGAATCATTCATTTACTGATTGATTTTACCGAATATTGTTGTTTAACAAGCAGAATTCTATCCTCGCCCACCTTATGAAGCCGATTTGTGTAGCTGGGTGCATACTGTAGCTAAGAGAGCTAATCGATCAATATCATGACCGGCTAAACAGGGATTCGAATCCCAGCGTTAATACCATAATATTTCTTCCATCCTTTCAATACATAAAGAGTTTCCAAGGTTCCCCACTCTTCAATTAGACTATTAGAATACGAAATTATCATTCACGCACAAATGGCGCGGCACCCACAGACCTCCTATGTCCATTCATGTTTTTATTTTTATGGCTTAGGAACTATGCTAGCTGTTACAAAGCCGTATAGTTTTGTATTCACGGTTTTTTAACCACACCAGTTATAAACGGTTTCAAAACCGTAATGGTAAAATATGTTTCGAATCATCAACTTTACGGTTAATCAGATGAACAGACTGCTGACGGTTACTATACCATAATTTCAGAATGAAAATTCTGACAGTGTAATGTTAATTATTTTTATTTTTAACCTAAAAAAGGTACCCTTTTTAAAATGCTTCACTAAGTAAGGATTTTATTTTTAAAAATACATTCATGCGTTATAATTAATATATACTACAAGCTTACATTCAAAAGCTACAAGCATTTCATCCCAATTAGTGTTTCAACACCTGTTGCTCAATCTTGTCAGCTTATGTCATTTGAGTCCTGGCTTGTTTTTTTTAATAACACACAAGATTTATTTAAATCTAAAGCAAAGCGGTTTTTTGCCGTTGGTTATGAAGAATTAATTGACGAAAACTCCGCTTGAGATTCCATTGTGCAAGATTACTATCAGGGGTCTGTTTAGAAGAAATTTGGGTCCGTTAACGGACCCTTCACAAAATATCTTTTCATAAAAACGGACCCTTCACAAAATATTTTAACTTAAAAACGGACCCTTCACAANAAACGGTTTCAATACCGTAATGGTAAAATATGTTTCGAATCATTAACTTTACGGTTAATCAGATGAACAGACTGCTGACGGTTACTATACCATAATTTCACAATGAAAATTCTGACAGTGTTATTTACAGTTAATTATTTTTTTTAACCTAAAAAAGGTGCCCTTTTTAAAATGCTTCTCTAAGTAAGGATTTTATTTTTAAAAATACATTCATGCGTTATAATTAATATATACTACAAGCTTACATTCAAAAACTACAAACATTTCATCCCAATTAGTGTTTCAACACCTGTTGCTCAATCTTGTCAGCTTATGTCATTTGAGTCCTAACTTGTTTTTTTTAATAACACACAAGATTTGTTTAAATCTAAAGCAAAGCGGTTTTTGCAGTTGGTTATGAAGAATTAATTGACGAAAACTCCGCTTGAGATTCCATTGTGCAAGTTTACTATAGTATTTTTTTTTTCATAATTTTTAATTTACTATGGATTCTATCATTCATCGCACTCAGGTAAATTTACAATTGAGATCAATTTTTTTCATAGTTTTTAATTGAGTATGTATTTTTTATTCACTTCTCAAGAAAAATTCTGTCTCCCTTACAATAGACGATGGAGCACTGCTCAACCTTAAGTGCTAGAAAAGGTCATAATGACATCCAAAAAATACTTTTTCTGAATCCACGTTGTAGTGGCTGCTAGTATTGAATACGTTCTTTTATTTCGTATTTTTATTTTTTATTCTCCTTTTTTTAAATTTTGCTTTCATTGAATGTTAATGAATAAAAGTAATTTAAAATGGGCCTCTCACTTGCCACATAAGTGGCACGCGTGAGTGATAGATTTGCCATTGCTGGTCTAGGCATTTAAAAAAATAGTATTAGTTATAATATTAAATATTTTTTTAAAAAATTGAAATTCAACCAAAATGTAAACATAGGCAGAATCAGAATGACATTGTAAATTCTCTCATGTCAGTTTTATATCGTATTGATAACAATGTGGAAAAAAAAAACATTGAGGAGCAAAATATTAGAAACTGGAAGAGGAAACTAGAATTATTTTTATAAAAACTTCACAACTCAAGAAATGAAACATAGATGTCGTGAAAAAAATATGAACTAAAGAAGATGTGAGTATTAGCAGAATCACGCAAATATTTCAAAATGCTTGATTCAATTATAAAGTTCTAAGACAAAGAAAAATACAATTAAAATGAAAAATAATTGTATTTAAAATGCCATTAGTTATTTTTAAGAAACCTTAATTACAGTAACTAAATAGTGACAACCAGGTTTGATGATAAGGAAAAAAAACACTCTCTTTCTAAAAGTTTCTTTTGCACTTTAAAAACGCGATTAGTAAAAATCTTTTTAAATCTTTAAAGAAAAAATTTTAATTAACTAATATTCAATCTAAACTAAATGTTTTTCTCTTACAAAAAAGTAAGTATAAGATTGCTGTCGTATTTTGTTATCCTTTTACCCATACTACTGAAGCCTCGGAAAAATCGTTTCAACAATTAACCATAGTATTTAAAAGCTTGAATCATATTATTATGCATGTTTGCTTCAACCATATTAACTTTTCTGATAATAAAAAGACCATAACTCTAGTAACAAAACCTAAAAATACCATATTTATAAAATGGGTAATTTTTCTCTTCTCAACTGTTTATCGGAAATTCTGGTTTTCAAAAATGTAGTTTTATTAACGAACATTTAGTAAAAAATACAAAATTGAAAGGTAAATTTAACCGAATAAATAGTACATTATCAAATTTGCGAAATTTCATCACATATTATAAAACTATATGTTATTGCTAATTATACCAAAATCAATATCATAGCGCTTCGGTAAAAATTATCAAACTTTTTGGTGTTTCTATTAAGCGAGAAACACGGTAAATTTTACCATATTCTGGCAGTTTTAACCATACTTTTGTCTCACTGCGATTAATCAAATTTAAAATGATTTAATCTGCTTGATCTTAGAAGAGTAACAACAAGCATCACTGGCTGCTGTCAGTAGGCTGGTGGGTGATCACTTTGATCACCCTGCGTAGGGACTGAAAGTGCGTGGTATCGATTCTCGTTAAACTGTTCTAAAGTACTCGACTTCACGCTCAGGTCGTTGGACTACCAAAGTGAAGGAGTTATCCCCTCTGCGGAGGATCAAAATTGTAATGGCGTCGTCCTCAGGGTTGTTTGCCAAACCGTCGCCAATAGTCCATTGTAACAGTGACAGTGAATACATTTTGTGCTATGTATTGTAACAGTGACAGTGAATACATTTTGTGCTATGTACAAAACAAGACCGTTAAAATGATATTAAAATGCCTTGAAAAGAGTAAACGAGGGGGTTATGTTTTGGACTTAGAATAAAGAGGTTAGTACAATCAGGGAGGAACATTAGGGTACTATAAACAAACATAAACTTGAAACAAAATTAACAGACGCAGAAATCCAAAGAACTACTAAAGAAAAAAAATACGTTTAGGAAAGTTGCCATCTCGTCTATTCCCAGATTGTCCGATTACAGGTGAATGCTTTTTTTTTGTTTTTTTAGAAAAGAAAAAAACATCAAATCTTTTTTTGTTTTCCCGAAATTTTCTGCACGTCTGTTAGAGATACGCCTTATTTCGCAGCAAGCACTGATACGATCGCTGACAACTGCTTGATGTGTATCAGACGCTCTATTAAGAAACATAGTACTTACTACTTAAGCATGATGGCCATTTAAAAATAAACCGCAGAGAATCTGCCCCTTTCCACAAAGCACCCAAGACAAATGCCAATGTAAAAGATAATAGGTTCTAAAATAATCACTCTCCACCTTTTTAAACTAGTCTTTGTTGTATGCTTTGTATCGAGAGATTTTATTATAGCTGGGAGACGTCGGAATTTTAATATCGCGAAAGATCGTCTGGAAATTTGATAATTGAATTATCGTCTGGTTACCACATATCGTGATAATTGAATAACAATATTTTCACATCGGTCAATAATTTTGTTTTACTAATGTAATTTTGACCACTCAGAATAATACTACTGTCCTTGATAATTATCGTTATCTATACTGCTAGCGATATTCTCATAATCGATATTAATGCTTTAATAATTATCGTTACCGATAAAACCCTAGGCAATAATGATCGTATATTCTATATTTAAAAGATATTCACGACATATCTCAAGAATAACTTTTTAAAAATATCATTTTCATTATCGCTATCTTTAAAAAAAATGCTTAAATTTCCCAATATATTGCTCTTCTTCAGTTTTTAATAATAAAAATTTTCTGCTGATATTGATAATTTATTTATTTTTTTAATTGAAAAAAAATATATTAATATTTTCAAGAATGTTTACTTGATTTGGTTCTAAGCACTTTTTGAACTTATCAATATTCTAGTAAACATAAGACCTAAAACAGTTTAAAAAAACTTTTCCAAATTTTAAAAATTCAAATATAATTATTTATAAACTCATTCAATTAATTTTATATATATTTCTCAACTTTTATAACTTTGTTGGGTTAAAAGGAATAAACAAAATTTGAAATAAATTTTTTAATAAAATAGTTTTTATCATCATCCTTATGAGCGTCAGTTGAATGGTTGAAAGGCTACATTTGGTCAGTTTCTTTGATATGACTGCAATTGCATGGATAATTTATTCCCTGAGGAGAATAAATTAGTAAATATATATTTTTTCCCTGAAATGTTCCTGTATAATTGAAATGAGACTATATAAAATACCCAAAATTTTAACATTTGCAGGTATTATTGATTATTCTTCATTTCTTACCAAGGTAGTTTATTTGCTAAATATATTGCAAACTTAAGAGAATACGCGTATTTAAAACATGCTTTAAAAAAAACATATAAGTTTTTCTTACCGGTATACATTCGCATCGCATGCAATACAGCATGCCAAATGGAGGACCCAAGTCAGGCCTCCATCTCTCCTCCAGTTCGTAAGTATTGTTACCAAACTGACAATCTGCAAAACAAAAATTAGCTTTAATAATCTAACATATTATAAACAAGCATAATTAAAAATAAATAATTTATTCGTGACAAGTTCAAACGTTTTTTTATTTTCCAAGAAATTATATTTTTAGTTTACTTATTAGTTTATTCCATCTTATTTTTAGTTTTTTATTATATTTATAAATGAAGTACGATTTTCATCAGTTTCCAAATATACTTGGCTAAAAGTTAAAATTTAAATCACGCGTGTCAAACACGTGGCTTAAGTGGTCCGCTGACCAATTAACCTTCAGCAGGCGTAGATACACTAGAAATCAGTTCTTTGTGTATTGATATTTTTCTTGAGCAGTAAAAAAATTTTACAATTATTTTTAAATAATAACCATAAACTAAATAAAATATGATTTTAAATAATCATTTAAAAAATCCTATTCGGCAGTAGGGTAACATAATATTTTGTTAGCTTTCACTTTCTCAGTTTTCCTCACTTATTTATTATTTGGTCTCAGCATTTTAATCTCTATGTCTATATTTATTAAAATTATTTTAAGTTTTTCACACTTTAATAAATACTAATCTCCAACGAGTATGGGCTAATGAAACTTATTAGTTTCTGAGTGTTATAGATAGCAATTAATAGCTTTTGATGTGTATCATACCATGAATTATGTAGTTGTAAATTTCGCCTTCTTTTCTCAAGTTTGTCTATACCATATTAAGTTTTTGCACTAGTTAATTAATACTTGGGTGGTCCTATTGGATCAATAAATTGGACCAAGAAAATATATTCTATTTTTTTAAAGCTATTGTTTCTTTCTTGCAATTTCATCTGATTAACTTGCATATTTTCCATACTTTAAATGAGTAGTTAAAAATATAACAAAAAATATTTAGAAAAATATTTTTTAATATTGCACAATAAATATTAATAAATACAATTAAATATTGCATAATTTCCATACTTTAAATGAGTAGTTAAAAATACAACAAAAAATATTTCGAAAAATATTTTTTTTATTCTATATATATTCTATTTCTAATGAGCTATTTCTTCTTGCAATTTCGTCTGATTAACTAATAAGAAGTTAAAAATATAACAACAAAAACATTAACATTTAACGTTAACAACAAAATATTATGGTACATCATAAGAATGAAAAGGTTAACTTCTAAGAGAAACTTGGCAACGGAAAAACTTCATTTAATTCATAAGTACTTATGGTAGAAAAAAATCTGAGCCAGTTATCCCAAAATATTATAACGTATATTCACTGGTTTCACTATAAAGTCTGGAGTTAAAGAACAAAATATTATGGTATTATTATGGTATAAGAATGAAAAGGTTAACACCTAAGAAAAACTTGGCAATGGAAAAACTTCATTTAATTCATAAGTACTTATGGTAGAAAAAAATCTGAGCCAGCTGTACCAAAATATTGTAACTAAATTCACTGATTTCACAATAAAGTCTGGAGTTTCGATTGAGACATTACTCTGTAGTGATACCCCCTTTCCATCGATTGCGACGTCACACAAAGCACGTCCTTCAAATTTTTTTTCATTAATTATTTTTTACTCCTTCTTTTCCTAGTTGCTTTCTCTTCACTCGGCATTTCCTCATCATTTGAAGTGAGTGTTCTCTCTATTCTCTCACTTCCTCACTAAGTTTTAAAAGAACAAAATTGGTCACAAAAAGAAGAAGAAAAAAAAAGAGTCTCTATTCTATTCGGATGTCAAGGGCACAGATTAGGTCGAATTTCTAAAACCATTGCATACGGCTTCGTGACATATTGGATGTTGAATATGGATAATAATTACTGATAAGTTTGTATTTGAATTCTAAAGAGTTCGCCAATCGACAATAGCGGAAATTTTATAATTGCTTAACACTCACTGCTAGAATAAAAAAGTAACTTATTTTTGCTTATCAGGTAGTCCTCAGTATAATAAATAACAAATAAAAATAGGTAGTCTTCAGAATATTAATTTTAAAAAAATTAGTCACTATGTTACATTTAAAATGTGCAGTGCTAAGTTTATGAAATTTAAAAATAGAGACACCTCAGTATATTGCATTCAAAAGAAGTTCATTTAGTCCCCAGTGTGATACATTTAAAAAATTTAATTTTCAGAATATTGAATATAAAAAGTTAGTCCAAAAGTCCTCAATATATTTCATTTAGAAAAATATAGTTTTCAAAATATTGCATTAAAACAATAGTCCACATTACATTAAATTTAAAAATAAATACTGAGATAAAAAAAAAATTTAACAAGGTAAAATTGAAAACCAATATATTCAAAATTTCATCGTAATTTTTTATTAATTTAACAATTTAAACTATAAGGTGTGGAAAAAAACTATTTTATAGAATAATCCAACTTATGTATTTGATCGAATGACGTTTCAGAAACGTATAACAAAGGTTTTGTTTCAGTAATAGTTGTTAATATGATGATCATTTCTACAAATTTTTTAAATTATTCAATTTTACAAATGGCGATTATCTAAATAAAATTTAGCACATAACCTATACAACAAAGATTTTTAATACTTAAGAATTGCTTATATATGCTGAAGTTCAGAAAAAAATTAATATTTCTCTTTAAATGATTGCTTAAGTAATAATTAAAATGAACTAAATTACAAAAAAAGAAGAAAGAAAAAAAGAAGAGGAGTGTTGCTTCCCACGTCAAAGAATCCACAATTAACTATATATTTTTAAAAAAATTTTCAAAAAAGATATTTCCTTAACTATTTGGAATTTAATGTTAAAAAGACTGAGATTAAAAACTTCAATTAAATATCAAGTTAATCAATTAAATAATTAAATAAGTTTCACCTGGAGAAATACATTTTACGACTTCTTTTCATAAATATTAATAATTGAACATAGTGAATTTTGAAAAGTTTAGACATAGATAAATGTATATTGCATTGATATTTCAAATTATATTGATTTAAAGGAAATTTAAAGTTAACACAATTAAGTTTTAGAAGTTTTAGAGTGCACACAGTGAACCGCGATGGCTCAGTGGTTAAGGCACTGAACTGTCATTGTGAAGAACTGAGATTCGATCTCCAGTGGTGGCTTGAAGTTCAACCAACTTCATATCAATGGGTACTAGCAACACCTCCTTATTCTAGGAGGTGTTGGTACTAGCCTGTCTGGGAAGTAAAGGCAGCCTGTGCACAATGCTGACCCTAGTGTCGCAATCATGCCGTTGGTCACGAAATTGGGAAGCCTTAACCTTCATGATCCCCATGACCCACTAGGGCTGTTGCATGAATGCTTCCCTTTTTTTTACGAGGTGTACAGTAATTAAAGAATTTTACAATATTAGTTTGGAAAGTTTATGTAACTTTTCGCTAATAAGTCATCGATTTTTTTTTAAATATTAATACTCGCACTTTTTTATACTATTGAGAACAATTTTATCTGTTTATAATTTAAACGTAAAGCATCGATTTTATCATGTTCAATTTCATGTTGTGATTATTTTTTCAAAATTAATCTTAATATTAATTTGAAAAAAAAGATTCCATATTTTTCTTAATAAAGTTAAGATTAGGTACTGACCGTGGTATTATCAGGCAAGAACCTGATAATGCCAAAGAACAAAAAAATAAATAAACTACAGATTGTTGAAACAGCATTTATAATTAAAATCATAACAGTAGTTTCCATTAAGAGTTATGAAATGATTTTAAATTATTAAAATAATGAAATTTGAAAATATCATCATGAATTCAATTTTAATAATATTTCAATCTTAAAAATATTTCAATTTTCAGATATTTTCCAATAAATATAATTAAATATAATATAAATTTTCTAATTTTTTGCGAGCTTAATTTTCTTTTTAACTTCATTCTAAACTATACAGTACGATACCATCATTTATAATTTTCAATTTATTTTTCAATTTTCAATTTATCAACTTTCTGATTCATAGATATTAAAATTTAAATTATACTCAAGCAGATTAACAGAAATTCCTATCAAATATTCAGATTAAACTGACGCACTTGAATGTCCAATTTAAATGAATCAGAAAATTATACATTGATTTTCAAAATTTCGATCTTACTAGTGAGTAAAACACATTTCAATGTATATAATTTACCATGATGTGATTCCCTTCTTTTACGATTTTAAAATAAAATTACAGCACAACACACAGTTAAAACTGATATATGAGAATCTTTTAATTTTTCTTCCCTTTCATGAGATTAGGAATAATTTATTGAAAAGAAAAAAAAACATATTTCATATCATTAATAAAAAAAATCGCTGGCATAAATTTAAAAAAAAAAAAATACATCGACTTCTCTCTAGTATACACTTTGTAAATGGTCCCTCCGGCCGGAATCGTTTGCAAGGGTGTGCCATAGTGATGACAGGGCTTACACCGCCACCCAGAGGCGGCCTCTTTGCATTGAAATAATGAAATAAAAATAATAAATAAATATTCGAGCCTTGTCGCAACTACCGGTCTTATATCAAATGAATAAGAATGAAAATAGGAAGATATTATCTTAATACGACGCCAATAAAAGTAGAAAATCAAGAATCAAAAACCTGCCACAGATAGTTTGAACAGAGACTGACTCTTTCTCACTCATTCAGTAAGGCACACTTACTGATTTGGTTATTGAACTTGTCTTTTCCTCTCATATGTCTCTATTTGAGTTCGCCTTCTTATGTTTGCAATATGTATCTGAACGGGAAGTAAATTGGGGAAAAAATGTGGAATTACCGTTCTAAATTCTGGAAATATTAGAAATACAGTAATGACATTTCTGGTAAATAAAAAATTTAAAAAAAATTAGTTAATAAAACCAAAATATACTGTATTTAAACCAATCACTTGGTAATTTCACGTTCATATTGTAACGGTTTACAGTAAATCTGATTTTCAAAATTATAGATCTTATTGATACAAATTTAGTAAAAAATACATAACTAAATTTAACCGAATAAATGGTGTTTGTACCATACTTTAAAA